ATGTTCAACTCACTTTACTGAAGGGTCCCAGGCAACCAGTGCACAAGGAAAAGAACCTACACCTGCTCCGGGGCTCCCCCGACCCCAGGAGGCCGCAGAGGCCCCTCAGCCCCGGGCCATCCCCCCCACACACAGGGAGGAGGGGGCTTCCTCCGCAGCCCCGGCCCCAGGCCCACCCTACCCTGCTCGGAGGTGATCTGAGGAACTGTCCCATGGAGGTCCCCGTGGCTCTGAGGGAGGCAGCTTCTAGAACAGCTGAAGCATATCCTGAGTCCGCTTCTGCACCTGGGTGTCCCCAGGTCGGGCTCACACAGTCCAGTCGGGCTGTGAGGGCGCCCCCAGGCCCCTGCGCCTTCCTGGAGACATGGAGGGAGGGCCCTCCTGGCACGATGGGCCTGGCACCCCCTGGGGACAGGGACTCTGGCACAGGCACACACAGCCCCAGGGCAAGAGGACTTGGCATCCAGGGCAGAGCGCTACTGAGGGGACACAGTGAGGTGGGCAGGAAAGGCTGGCGTCCGCTTCACCACGCGGACACTGACACCCCGCAGAAGCAGCCACACTTGGGACAGCAGGTGCTGACCCCCACAGCGCTGAGCCACGCTCCTGGGGGAACTCGGGGCTGGGCTGCAGCTCCCTCCTGGGGACACTTCCTTCCTCTCAACGCCATTTCCCCGGCAGCTCCTACACTGGCTGGACCGGCCCCTGCCCCTCAGGTGCCCCCTCAGCGTCCCCTCCGAGGCCTGATTCACTCAGGGGCTGAACCCGGGACCCTGCATCCTCTTATGCCAGGGGCTGCAAGGCCAGTGCTGAGGGGCCGGTCAGCCCACGGGACGGGGGGGACCGCTGTTGGGACAGCGAGGGGGGTGGCGGGGTGGTGAGGGGACCACAGGCCTGTGGGAGGGGCGCCGCCCTGCACTGCCAATGACGGAAGCCAGAAATCCGGAGTTTATGCGATTGAAAATGGTGGCAAATAGTTCAGATTTTTGGCAATCACTGGGCAGCCTGAGTGACAGATTCAGCCTGTGGACAGTAGCAGGTGGCCGGCCTTGGCCTTGAGGAGCTGGCTCACTTGTCTCAGCTGCACCCCAGGGGGGCAGGGCTCGTGCCCTTTCCCTTTCTTCTTCCTCCTCCTCCTCCCCTGCCCCCACCCTTCCCCACCTCTCCTCCCTCCTCTCTCAGAGGACCTCTCCCCTCCCCGAGGAGCTGCCCCCTCTGCCCTTGGGCTGCCCCTCTTTCTGATATCATCTCCTCCCCCAAGCAGGGAGGATCAGCCTTCAGGCCCCAGCTACACGCAGACACCCACGGCCCAGCTGGGTGGCCCAGGCTCCATCCCAGACCCCAGGCCCCATGAGACTGGGGCAGGGGGCCAGTGGCCCACAGACGAACGCCTGAAGCAGGTGTCTGCAACGCCGGGGGCCTCGCAGAGAGCCTGCAAGAACTCTCTGGCACGGCGGGCCTCCCCACTGCCCCACGGCCGCCGCCACGCTCACCCGCGTGCTGACCCGGCGCCGCGCAAAGCCCAGCGCCCTGGGTGGGCCCCGCCCGAGACACCGTACCGTCCCATCACCTGGGCCGGCTGCGTCCGGGGTGCCCGCATGTCTCTCCTTCTTCCCTGGGGATCGCTCCCGCCGCCCGCCAAGGAGGGACTGCCAAGGGCCGGGGAGGCGGGCGGCGGGAGGCCCGCGGCGCAGCAGAGCCGGGGTGGGCGCGGAGAAGCTGGGAGGCCGCCTCGGCCGCAGGGGGCCGGGGGCAGCGCCCCGGGGGCGGCCGCGCGACTCCGGGGTCCCCTAGCGGCACTTGGGCGACTGCCTCCCGCCGCGACGAGCCTTCCTCCCGCTGGCCGACTCGGAGCCGGGGGACCGCGGAGCCCTGGCCTCGCCGGCCTGGGCGTGGACCCCCGCGCCCGCGCGCCCCTTCTTTCTCCCGTGCGCCGCGGCCCGGACCTCGGCCCGCGTCTCGGGAGTGACCGCCCGCCCGCCGCGGCCTCCGCCTCCGCCTCCGCCTCGGCGTCTGCGGGAGCCCGACGGGGCGGGGGCCGCGCCCGCCTCGCCCGCCTCGCCCAGGGCCCCGGAGGCCGTGCGGGCCCGCTTGGCCCGCGCCTTCCCGGACGCCCGGGGCTCGGGCTGCGACTCCTCGCTCGCCGCCGCCTCCGCCGCCGCCGCCTCCGGGCTCCTGGCCGCCGCCGCGCCCTCCCGGGCAGCCAGCAGCGCCAGCACCTCGCCCAGCTGGCCTCTGGCGCGCCCGCGCCTCCCGCCTTCCCGGGCGCGCTCCCCGGCCTCCGGCGTCACCCCCGCCGCCGTGTCCCGCGCGGCCAGCAGCGCCACGAGCTCCAGGAGGCCCCCCTCGCCGTCGCCCCAGCCCGCCAGGGGGGCCACGCCGCGCCCTCTTGCCGGGGGCCGGGGGTTCGGGCGCGGCCAGGGCGCAGAGGCACTCCCGCAGGCTCCCGCCGTCCGTGGCCTTCCGCAGCACCGGGGCGTCCAGCTGGCGGCCCGCCTCCTCCACCTTCACGCGGGCTCCCCCCGTGTCCAGGACCTCGCGGAGGGCATCCGTGCCGTCTCTCCTGGCGCTCCAGCCCGGGGACTCGATCACCCAAGCGATCTTCGGCAGCTCCTCGCGGGCCGAGGGGCCCGACGGGTCCGTAGAGGCCACAATGGCCACAAACTCGGGGTTGTCCAGCGCCTCGTCTGCCGGCTCCCCGTTCGGCTGCGACTCGCTTTCGGGAGCGTCGCCGTGGGCCGGCTCCTCGTCGGCCGCGTCTCGCACAGCAAGCAGGGCCACTAAGTCGGGGACGCGGCGGCTCCGCCTTTCGCCGCCGCCGCCGTCGAGGCTGACGGCCGCGGGCCCCGGCGCCTCTTTCTCCGCCGGCTCCCGCTTGGCTCTGTCCGTCACCGTCACCAGGGCCAAGAACTCGCGGGGCCCCTGGCCTGCGTCCGCGCCGCTCCGCAGGGCCCACTCCTTCTTGCTGGGCTCCTGGGCGGCCTGGTGCAGCCTGGAGGACAGCGCGCTCTGCGCCTCGTCGGCGCTCAGGTCGTCCGGGTCCAGCTCCTCGAGCGCGATGCCCAGGCTGCCCTCGGAAGAGGCGCCCGACTCCCGCCGGGCCCACGTGGGCGGCCGCCCCCCTCGCTCGGTCTTCTGGCCCTTCGGGGCCCACCTGTTGCCTCTGGCTCTGTTTCTGCGAGCCCGGCGGCCCCGCCTGGGAGGTGGGCCAGCCCTCCTGGCGGCCGGCTCTGAGCCCTGGGCCCGGGGCTCCCAGGCCCGAGAGAGGAGCGTGTCCCCGGCGGCCCCGGGCCCTGCGGCCTGCCAGGGCCTCTCATCCAGCACCAGGCGTCTCATCTGCCTCAGGACTCCTGGGTCCTCCGCCGGGTCCCGACACACAACCCTCCGGACCCCGTCCTTGCCCGGCATCTCCCTGGGGACGGACGCGTGATTTATGTCCTGCACCAACTCCACCAGGGCGGCCTCGGCCTTGTGGTCCCTCGCGGCCCTGGCGTTCCACAGCCTGAACGCGCCCAGGGGCAGGAAGGCCGGCTGCAAGACGGCTTCGATGGCCGCCCGCTCTAGGCCCTCCGGGATGCCGGTGACCAGCAGGGCCCGGTGCATGTCCACATCCAGCCCCCGGCACCAGTCCCGCAAAAGGCTCACGGCCATGGTGCCTCCAGCCCGCTGACGCAGCGGTCTGTGCTGATGCCCCCTCGCC